ATATACTAAATTGTAGTAAAAAGTTTAATTTAAAATTAACCATATACTAAATTGTGTAAAAAGTTAATTTAAAATTAACCATATCAAATTGTGTAAAAAGTTAATTTAAAATTAACCATATCAAATTGTATAAAAAGTTAATTTAAAATTAACCATATCAAATTGTGTAAAAAGTTAATTTAAAATTAACCATATCAAATTGTGTAAAAAGTTAATTTAAAATTAACCCTATCACATCTTGTAAACAGGTAATGTAAAATTAACAATATCAAATGCTGTAAACAGTTAATGTAAAATTAGACATATCAAATCATGTAAACATTTTGGTGTAAAATTAAGCATATTAAATTGTTTGAACAGTTAATGTAAAATTAACCATATCAAATCATGTAAACAGCTAATATAAAGTTGACCATATCAAATTGTGTAAGCAGTTAATATAAAATTGACCACATCAAATCGTGCAAAGAATTAATGTAAAATTGACCACATCAAATCGTGTAAAGAATTAATGTAAAATGAAACATATCAAATCATTTAAAGAATTAATGTAAAGTGAACCATTTAAAATCATTTAAAGAACTAATGTAAAATGAACCATATCAAATCATTTAAAGAATTAATGTAAAATGAACCATATCAAATCATATAAACAATTAATGTAAAATTAACCATATTAAATCATGTAAACATTTTGGTGTAAAATTAAGCATATTAGATTGTTTGAACAGTTAATGTAAAATTAACCATATCAAATCATGTAAACTTTTAGTGTAAAATTGACCATATCAAATTATGTAAACTTTTAGTGTAAAATTGACCATATCAATTGTGTAAAATTTAAAATTGACCATATCAAATTATGTAAACAGATAATGTAAAATTAACAGTATCAAATCTTGTAAACAGCTAATGTAAAATGGACCATATCAAATCATGTAAACAGTTAATGTAAAATTGACCATATCAAATCATTTAAATAATTAATGTAAAATGAACCATATCAAATCATGTAAACTTTTAGTGTAAAATTGACCATATCAAATTGTGTAAAATTTAAAATTAACCATATCAAATCGTGTAAAATTTAAGATTGACCATATGAAATTGTGTAAACAGATAATGTAAAATTGACCATATCAAAACATGTAAACAAATAATGTAAAATTGGCCATATCAAATCATGTAAACAATTAATGTAAAATTAACCATATCAAATCTTGGAAACAGGTAATGTAAAATTAACCATATCAAATCATGTAAAATTTAAAATTGACCATATGAAATTATGTAAACAGATAATGTAAAATTGGCCATATCAAATCATGTAAACAGATAATGTAAAATAGGCCATATCAAATTATGTAAACAGATAATGTAACATTAACCATATCAAGTCATGTAAACAGTTAATGTAAAATTGATCACATCAAATCGTGTAAACTTTTAGTGTAAAATTAACCATATCAAATCATGTAAACAGATAATGTAAAATTGGCCATATGAAAACTTGTAAACAGGTAATGTAAAATTAACCATATCAAATTGTGTAAAATTTAAAATTGACCATATGAAATTATGTAAACAGTTAATGTAAAATTGACCGTATCAAGTTGTGTAAACAGTTAATGTAAAATTGACCATATGAAATTGTGTAAACAGTTAATGTAAAATTGACCATATCAAATCATTTAAAGAATTAATGTAAAATTAACCATATTAAATCATGTAAACAGCTAATATAAAGTTGACCATATCAAATCATGTAAACAGATAATGTAAAATTGGCCATATGAAAACTTGTAAACAAGTAATGTAAAATTGACCATATCAAATCGTGTAAACAGCTAATGTAAAGTTGACCATATCAAATCGTGTAAAGAATTAATGTAAAATTAACCATATTAAATCATGTAAACAGCTAATATAAAGTTGACCATATCAAATCATGTAAACTTTTAGTGTAAAATTGACCATATCAAATCATGTAAACAGATAATGTAAAATTGACCATATCAAATTGTGTAAACAGCTAATGTAAAATTAAACATTCAAGTGTTGTTTTTTTTAATATGTTGTATTAAGTTTGAGTACTTGAGTATTTTACAAGTACATCTAGAATGGTACAGTTTCAAAGGTACCAAGTTATCTAGAAATAAAACCCTCAATTAAAAAAAATATCTTGAGGGAGTTGAGTTTAGGGGGAAGCTTTTCCACCTGCCCTATGGAAAGAGAAGGCTTGCTTGTGTGCCTCAATTTATGTATTTAGCTTGGACAATTTATTAATCTGAATCTTTACATCTAAACTGTTTCTGTATACTGGTAATCGTTTTATGCTGTATTATTCTAAGTTTAGATATCTATTTTCTGTTTTACTGATTTTCTATGATTTCAATTCCAATAAGTTCATAATTATGAAATAAGTATGATAACCAGGTAGTCTGAGTTTTAAAAAATGCCTTGATAGCAGTAGCTAGGGAGTTAACTTTAAATCAGTTTCTAGAACACTCACTTAGCATGGGAGAGAGATACTACAACCCTAAGATTAGGCCTAAGTATGGACCTCATCTATAAGAAGGTAAGAATGTAATAACCAGTTAGTTTCAGTATTTGAAAAGTACCACTAGAGAGATGAGTTAATCGATCCCAGGACGTACAGATGTTGTATTATGACAAAAGAACATTGGAGTTAATTGACTTTGTACATTACTCTATGTCTTGCTCAGATATTGATTTTATGATTTCAACTATTCAAATTGTATACGTAAGTCTTTTATTTTACCTCATTCTATTTTTACTACACTCGTGACAGTATTGTAATATTATGATATAATTACACTGTACTATGCTTATCTCAACTTTGAAAGCACAACTAAGATTGTTGCACCATTTTTTCATCACAGAAACACTTGGATTGTTTACATAATACTGGAATTGCGAAAGTTTCCTAGGAATCATAATCTTGAAAATATAACAAATTAACTTCAAATCCTTTCATGTTTAATGTTTAACCTGTAAATTTTGATATCTTTATAGGAAGAATGCCTATCTCCAGTAGTGTGTGCTTTGCCAACTTTAGATGTACAGTATCGTTGTGTTGCTGATGCTGTAGACACAACTAGACATGGTCTACCAACATCTAATGTAATTTTTCCAAAGAATAATGAAGAAGAAGGTAAGGAGATAACCAACTTCATGTCACAAAAGCCAGTGCTTACAAGTTCTTAAACAGGATATAATAATGCTTTTACAGTTATGATGCAAAGTTGACAAAAAATACACAACAAAGGTGAGATTACTTGGAAATAAAGACAACAAAGTATTGTGTTAACCTTTGCATTACTAATACAGTTAATTGTGTGAAAGATTCTAAAATATTTTAATCTTTAAAGACATTTTAATCATGTATATATATATATATTATGGTATGTTCATCTACCTCCCACTTGAAAAGCTGAGCACGGAGGCAAAACTCAACATTCAAATGAAGGGAGAACAGACATGAATAATGTTAATGCCAATTTTTATTTCACAATCAGGATATTCTACACTAAATTGTTAGGAATTAATCACACTATCATTCACATTTCAAAATGTGACGTTACTTAAAGAATAAAAATGTAGATTTACTGCATGTTATTGTTGAGTGGGTCTTAGCATGACTGTAATGCTCAACAATTACTTTGTGCGGTGGGCGGTATAAGTAGCTTAAAGTTTTGGCTTTGAATGAAACCAAGAGTGTAACACAATTAACCTTTTTAAAGTCTGTGACAAAATTTAAATTGATGAATTAACTTAAACTTTTCCCATCATTGGGAATGGGTATTTTTGCTTGTATGGGATAAATCAAAGCTTCCAGAAGCTGACTAACTATACATTTAACATCTACATGATAAAATACAGTAATATGCTTTAAAACTTGAGTTACAGAAACACTGCTAAAAATGGTGACATGTTAAGATACTTTCTTTAAAACTTGAGTTACAGAAACACTGCTAAAAATGGCATTACTGTATTTTATCATGTAGACATTAAATATAGCATAAACCCTAGTATGACATGTTAAGATACTTTCTGGAATTTTTTGTGCAGTTTTGTAACAATATGGTTTTATATCTTTGTGAGCTGTTTTCTTCCCTAACCCTAATAATCGTGGGAAGTCTTTCAAAGGACATTACTTTGGCAAAATGCTCATTTCTCATACAAGTCATTTTTCAATTAAGAAATAAGTTTTGATTGATTTTAATTTTAAAATGTGTGAACATTATTTTTCTTTCTTCAGTTATTGCTTGTAATATAAGATAATGATGCCATTTTTTTTTTAAGTCACTGCAGTAATTCAAATATTTGAGTCAATAAGTGTAGCAGGCCACATCGTGATACATTTTATCAGTAAGTCCTAGAAAATGTCTACTTTTGAATATCTCGTATAAAATAAGGCAGAAAACTATATAGGTTTTTGGACACTACACAACTCAGTAAGAATAAATACCTCACCCATATTATGACACTAAGTTTTAGAAATCAGTATCATCTGGAACTTTATTAAAAACAAAACTTCTGTACAAAATCGAATTTTTAGTTAATCATTTAGTTAATGAAGTTTTGAGTAATGTTTTTGCATTAGTCATTATTGTAAGTAATACATGCTACATTACTTTGCATTGTTTGTAGAAAATGAATACCAAGTATTGTATTTCAGAAAAACTCCTTCAAGCCTTAGAAGAAACAGATACTCTTTTGGCAGCCATAAATGTCCAGTTAGAGTCTAGTAGAGGTGACTTGTGTGCCACAACATCTGGACTGAGAAACATTTACGTTATTTTGGAAGGAGAAATTGATGACTTACAAAAGTAAGCATTAAAATAGTTATCTTTGTAAAACCAGTTGACAAATGTCTTTTGTTTTTCTAGCTGTACTTTTATCATGTCAATTTCTTGACTTTCAAAAACATTTAAGAAAAAAAGCAGTGTAAAATTTGTGTTGTTTAGTTGTAAAGGTACGTTAAGTTTATTAAGGTTATAACAAGAAACACAATTTTATCTAATTTTTGTTCACATACAATACATATTAATAGTAGAATTGTTTCAGTTAAATAATTCTTTTGTATTAAAGTTTTAAAAAAAAGCTGATAATGTGGAGGACATGACTAGTTTAAAAATAAATTTATGATTGTAAAGAAATGGTATTGTAGTTGCAATGTTAGTGAAAGATGACATTATCGTCCTTTGATCATCCTCTCCTCAGCCTATAGCTCACATTATTCCCTATATTAATCATGTGGAAGATAAGTAAAACAGGTGAATCTATAATTTTGTGGTGCTTAAAAATGATGAACATTGGTTGGACTAGTAACTATTTAAAAATGTTTCTATAAAAAGTTATCTAGACACTTACAAGAACCAACTAAACAAGTTGTCTGGGATATTTGTATTGAATATTTATTAAACATTAAAAGCTTTTAGGTTTAAAAAGCTGCCCCGTGTGTAAATTTTCATGGATGAGATGACGAAGTGTATACATCTAAATATATAGATATTGGTCAATGGAACACTTGAACTTCATAAATTTCTAATTGAAACATGTTTAGATATTCTACTATTATAGATAAATCCTTTGAAACATGTTTAGCTATTCAACTATTATAGATAAATCCTTTGAAACATGTTTAAATATTAAACTGTTATAGATAAATCCTTTGAAACATGTTCAGATATTAAACTATTATAGATAAATCTTTTTTAAACATGTTTAGATATTAAACTGTTATAAATAAATCCTTTTTAAACATGTTCAGATATTAAACTATTATAGATAAATCTTTTTTAAATATGTTTAGATATTAAACTGTTATAAATAAATCCTTTTTAAACATGTTTAGATATTAAACTATTATAGATAAATCTTTTTTAAACATGTTTAGATATTAAACTGTTATAGATAAATCCTTTTTAAACATGTTTAGATATTAAACTATTATAGATAAATCTTTTTTAAACATGTTTAGATATTAAACTATTATAGATAAATCCTCTGAAACATGTTTAGATATTAAACTATTATAGATAAATCCTTTTTAAACATGTTTAGATATTAAACTATTATAGATAAATCCTTTTTAAACATGTTTAGATATTAAACTATTATAGATAAATCCTCTGAAACATGTTTAGATATTAAACTATTATAGATAAATCCTTTGAAACATATTTAGATATTAAACTATTAAAGATAAATTCTTTGGAAAATGTTTAGGTATTAAACTATTATAGATAAATCCTTGAAAACATGTTTAGATATTAAACTATTATAGATAAATCCTCTGAAACATGTTTTGTATAATAGTTTAATATATAATAGTTTAATATCTAAACATGTTTAAAAAGGATTTATCAGATAAATCCTTTGTAACATGTTTAGATATTAAACTATTATAGATAAATCCTTTTTAAACATGTTTAGATATTAAACTATTATAGATAAATCCTTTGTAACATGTTTAGATATTAAAATATTATAGATAAATCCTTTTTCAACAACAAATTTCTTTACAAGGTGCTGTATGTATTTTAAATATCAAACAACAAATAATAGTTATTGAGAGAAATTAGGTAAAAATATTTGAGTAAGTATAATTTCTAACCACCAGATGTCGATGAATTCTTCATCTCTGTTAGTCTTAATCATGTGTAACTAAAGAAACAAATATATAGAATATTGAATTTTGTTTTGTCCTTTTTATTCTAGAAATGCTTTGTTTTGTTTTTCATATCATACAAAATGAGTTACTTTAATGTAAATCTATAATTATGAGATATTTATGTTAAATAAAAATGAGCATGAATGTGTGATAAACAACAGGCTATATTACTCTTCTTAGAAACTTGTAAAACAGCAGTGTAATAGCTTACACGTTTAATAAATCTGTTTGATTTATAATTGATAATTTAACATTTGGAACTCTTTAAATTCAACTTTACAAGTATGTATTTGTAAATAAACCATTTGTACAATAAATAATTTAAAGTATAATCAGTCAATTTTTGTGATTTCTACCAGGACCAGTCTGAGTCGTATTAATCCTGTTTTACTGCCTTTATTCTGTAAATTTGCATCATTTTTTCTCTTTCCAGGAACAACAACCTTTTCACACAGCTTAGCAGTTTAGTGACACAAGAGAGTTCACTGAAAATCCAGAGTATACAAGAAGCAGGAGATCTCTAACACATTTTTATAATTACAAGTATTGGAAGTTATGCACCCTGTTCTGATAACTTCAGTCTTTCATTTAAATGCAATGGCAGATATTATTAGCTTGTATTTTGTTAACTTGAATCTAGTAATGAAAGTACTCTCTCCTGCTGCTGGTACAAAAGATATTTCGTCTCAACGTTAAGACAGCTTATCAGTTAAAGTTATGTCATCTCAACGTTAAGACAGCTTATCAGTTAAAGTTATGTCATCTCAACGTTAAGACAGCTTATCAGTTAAAGTTATGTCATCTCAACGTTAAGACAGCTTATCAGTTAAAGTTATGTCATCTTAATGTTAAGACAGCTTATCTGTTAAAGTTATGTCATCTTAACATTAAGACAGCTTATCTGTTAGATATTTCATCTTAACATTAAGACAGCTTATCTGTTAAAGATATGTCATCTTAATATTAAGACAGTTTATCTGTTATGCCTGTTATATTTAATGGAATGAGAAAAAAGCCTCAAGGAACAGTGGCTAATCTTCAACACCAGAGATGTTTCTAACTGGTACTTCGATGGCTTCCTAGTGCTCCAGATACGTTACTTATTTCAAGGAACAGTAGCTAATCTTCAACACCAGAGATGTTTCTAACTGGTATTTCCCTGGCTTCCTAGTGCTCTAGATATGTTACTTATTTTTTAATTTTCATCAGTAACATAAACATGGATTGTAGCATTCAGTTTTCCTATAGTTTGTAAATAACAAGAGTGTAACTGACTTAGAAATATCTGTAATGTTACGGAATAAATGAACTTGTTTTATGTATTGGTTTCTCAACAGTTTTAAGTACATTTGCTCATCTGAGGAAACAGATACAACTATGGAGTTATGCTAGAGATTATTTCTTAAATCTTAATTATCATAAACTTGTGTCCAAAAAAAAGCTACCTACACAGATCAGAAGTTAATATTGATCCAATGCATAACAGAACCAATTTGCTGGTATGTATTTCACGTACAATTTCGTAGGTGTAGACATCAGCAAAAGTTAATCTCTGTAGTGATGTTATTATATTATTAGTACTGTATTACTTGCTTAAATGAAATAGAATCATATTCATACTAATTGGACATTTAGGCAGAATTAACTAGAAGTTTGTTTCTATACAATAAATATTAGAATACAGCTTTTGAGAAAAGGTGGTAAGATAAATTATAATCTTTGAAGATGAAAATGAATTAAAATAGTGAAATTTATAAAGGAATGATTATAAATAAATGTTTTACATTGGGTTTTATGGAGAGAAAAAAAAAAGATATAATATTAACATTAGCACAGTAATTTTAATTGTAACACAATGAACCAATTCAAAATGCAAGTTGCTACAACAGCAATATCATTAGTACGGTAGTACTTGTAGTAGGAATGGGACAGATGTGCAATACAAATTAAAATCTCAAACAGTATGTAAACAAAACTTTATAAACACTATACACACACTGTTCAGTAGTAAACAAACCAACTACAGAGTAACAAGTCACTGAGAAAGTTGATAGAGTAAAAACAACAATTTTATACAACCACAAGTTTGTCAATATGACTGACTGATTGAATAACGTTGTTGGAAAGGCATAGCTCTCTCCTACCTTCATCTTATGCAAATCTAAATGTACACGATTGAATTATGCTACATTGACTAAACGTTTTTCTTAGTTTTACTTATAACCTTGGTAATAACAATAATCATTTTTGAACACTATTAATGAACAAACCATATCCATATTCATATGATTACGAGCACATTCTGTGAGTTGCCATGTAACAACATGCCCTCATATCGTGTACAAATGTACAATTGCTTATGCACACACACACTACATGACCAGCCTTTAGCTATATTAGATAGATAAAAAAATGGGGAATACATAGATTTTCTAGATCTAAGTTCTTACTCTGATCTAATCTTTGAAAGAAAAATTTTCAGTTCTACACATCTGACTCAAGGGTTCTGCATTAGACAAAGCAATTTTATTATAGCAGTTGGCACCTAAAACATGAGTGTCCTATGTGAGGACAAACGGTACCACTACGGAAGTCTGACACGGCTTTGCTTAAGTACTCTGTACTGAAAACAAGAATGATAAATTATATAATTTACCTTTGCATTGTTTTCAAACTAAGTGTGACATCTAAGGTTGTACTTGAAACAGTGCGATTTTTAAAATATACCTTTCAAGGAAACTAAGCAAGAGAAAATGAGAAAATCTTATGTTGATAACCTTGAAAACTCTGTACCAGTAAAGACAGCATTACTGCAGGAATAGAGATAAGGTTAGAAACAGTAATGCTGAATATGCGAAACAAGCCTTAGCTGTTAATCCAGCCAAAGGAAAGGCTGCTACACTGGTTACATGGAAGGAAAATTATAGCAAAGGTATCAGCAAAAGTCAATAAATGTTCAGAGATAGCTCTAAGAAAAGCCACGAGAATGGTAGGCTTAGAGCCCAGTCACTCTCAAGTACCAAAATAAACTATAAGACAAATGTAAAATATATTTAAATAAAAAAAGTAGGAATGGGAGCACCATAAAGTAAGGAAAAAAGATAGGAATGGGTGGGATAACAACATGACATGGCACAATCTGAAAGTGGGTGTGGCATCATTCCGCACATTCCTACGTCGTGTTTTACTTTGAACTTTGATTCAATTATAGAATTGAATTGAGTTTTATCAGTAGCTAATCCTTTCTAAATACTCAACAAACATAAAAATTTCTAAAATCAGCAGTTTTGATACTATTCTTTTGGCCCAGTCAGATAACTATAGTGTTTTCCATAAGCAAAGTATGGCTATTGGAGATTCCTGTCTCACTTCCAATACCAAATACCCCCCTCATGATGTCATGTATTTCGTTACAGTCACATAATTTGATTACGTACATGAATCTGTACTTGGTTGCTGAAACAAAATTTAAAACAGAGAATGATGTCATGCATTTCGTTAGGGTCAAATAATTTGATTACGTACATGTACTTGGTTGCTGAAACAAAGTTTACAACAGAGAAATTGAGCTATATACACACCTTTCATTTAGTTTGAACAATTATAAAGTTACAAAAAGCACATGAAGTAGGAATGGGCAGAACGATTGTGCCATGTCAAAAACCACTAAGTATTGTAATGTTATCCCACCTTGTTATCTTACCTTGTTTCCTAACTTTTTGGTGCACTCATTCTAGTCACTTGTTTAACCCAAGTGAATCTGGTAACATTTCCAAAGGTACATGTTCACAACAGTAAACACTATTGGTGTTATATTGGTACATAGTCACTTGTTTAACCCAAGTGAATC